CTTGGGAAGCACGGCGGCGCTCCTGCCCGAGGGTTCGGATCCCACATACAGACCGGTTCCCGCTCACTGGCTGAGCGAGGCGCGGGAGCAGCGCCGAGGGTTGCGATCCCGTTGCCGGTCCCTGGTCCGGTACGGGGGCAACACTGAGGGTTGCGATCCGTTGCCGGACACGGAAAAAGACAAAAGACAAAAAAAAAAACAAAAACTAAATCATACTGAAAACTTCTTTGTAATAGAACCCTATAATAAACATTTTCATGGGAATTTAAGATATATTAGGGGAATAAAAGACACTTATTTAGCAGTTGCAATACTTAGCATTTTTCCTACATTATGTAATTTAACCCTGAAAATTACGATGACCCCATTATACAAAAGAGGAAACTGAGGCCTACGGAAGTAAGTTGCCCAAGGGGATGTTGCTAGTAAGTAGCAGAATCCAAATCTGTATCCAGAGCTGTCTGGTACCAGTTTGAGGTTTTCCTATATTGCCTCTAAGAAATAAGAATTGAAAGAAATGCCTCCTTATCCCGATTTGATCACCACGTATTATACAAGGTATTATATTCAAATCTGTACCCATACATATGTATAATCAATTATGCTTCAATAAAAAAGCTGTTTAAAAAAAAAGAAAAAGAAAGAGAAATGCCTCAACCATACACAAAAGAGATAAATTTGGATCATTAAATGTATAAATTAAACAGTCACTAGTCTCCTTCCTGAGCCTTTGTGTAACTATGCATGCCAGGATCACATATTGAGGCATGAGAGTTCTGGCCTAAGACTACAGGAATCCACCCCATCATTTCCTTCAGACCTTCACGTGCATTGGCTTTGGAGCCTTCTGTGTTGAAGGGCCACAGGAGCAGTTACCAAGAACCCAAGGGATGGTCCCCACCCCGCCTTTGTCTTGTACAAGCCTAGACTCACTATAGGTCGCTATTAGGCTGCACCTTCAGGAGGCTGGTTCAGCGCTTCCCCAGGGCCAAGACTGTGGTGCCTAAGTGGGCATGTGGGGACAAGTGAGTCCTCTGGCCTCACAGGACAGACCAGGAGGACTTGGATAATTTTGTACTGAGCACCTTTTATGTTCAGGTCTCTGCTCTAAACACTGGCAATACAGACAGAAATAAGAAAAATGAGGACTCTGTACTTATGGAGCTTTCAGTGATTATATGAGCAGCGACTCACATGGAGGAAAGATCAGAGAATGCCCCCAGAATGTTCTGGATTGTGCAAGAATGCCCACCAGGATGCAATGCTGGGGTGGGGAGAGGTATCCCAATAATAACTGACATTGCATTTCTTTCAAATCAGTGGGATAAGGAGCTTGGAGCAGATTTAAATATGAGTTAGAGAAAGGAAAGAAATGTGACTTATTTCACATCCCATGTTGCAGGGTAAAATTCATACCAACTGCATATTCCCTCTGGGCTATAACTAAAATGGCTTTATTGGTTTTTTAATAAAAGATTTAAAAGCTGCCACCTTATTCCTCTATGATATGTATGGAGGCCATTGAATCTCATCATGTTTCTAAGTTTGGTGTAACTATAATTTAATTATAATTTGAATTATAATTTAATTATAATTTGGTATATACCTCTAGTTTCAGTCTGTAAAGTCATGTCACCCCTGGCTAAGTGAATAAGAAGAAATGGTATTTGAGAGGTGACAACCTTTCAGGGTTGTGCCTGGGCTCAGAAAATTTCTGGTCTTTTATTATTATTTTTTCACTCTTTTTAATTTTTATTTGACTTTGGAAATATAGTCATTTTCACAAAAATGTAATTTATGTTAACTTATAATGGATTTATTCTTATCTTAATATACTAATGAGAAAGTATTTTTTAAATGTGTCAGTTAAAATTTCTAAAATAGTTCATTTTGATAGACATAACTCACATAAAGAAGAGCTTTTGGGAGTTCTCAATCATTGTGAAGAGTGTAAAAGAGTCCTGAGATGAAAAAGTTTGAGAACAGCTCATCTAGAAGTAGCCAATTTTATTCTCCTTTCTGAAGCTAGAGGAGTTTCAAAAAATGTCCTCCCCACAGTCAGCAATCCTCAGTTTCTCACCTGCAGAAGGATGGCCGAACCTACGTTCTGGGGTGTGTATTGTACGAGACGATGGATGGGCGGTCTGTGTTGAGTTGTGTCCCATAAAGAGATATGTTGAAGTCCTAACACCCAGAATCTCAGATGTGACCTTATTTGAAAGTAGCATCTTTGTAGATGTAATACATTAGGACGAGTTCTTGAGGGTGAGTCCAAATCCAATAGGGCTGGTGTCTTCATAAAAAGGAGAAATTTGAACACAGAGGCACACACACAGTGAGAATACCATGTGAAGACAAAGGCAGAGACTGGGGTGACACCAAAGACTGCCAGCACCCCACTAGAAGCTACGGGAGAGGCCTGGAGCAGATTCCCCCTCACAGCCTCGGAGTGACCAACTTTGCCAACACCTTAGTCTCAGACCTCCAACCCCTAGATCTCATGTTTAGGGCACCCAGTCTGTGGTACTTTGTTAAGGCAACCCTAGAAACCAAGGTACTGGGAAATTGTTTTGTAAGCTGGAAAGTGCTCTGCAGGAGTCAGTGGTGCCGCTGCTAGAACCATCCTCTCTTTGCTTCAGCCTCCGGCTGGTCCAGGCATCTAGCCTTTTATCAATATCAACCTCCCTTTACTCCCAGTGAGGGGCTTGATGGAAATCTCCTTAGAAGAGCTAAGAATAAAAGACAAATGTCTCTGAGAACAAATAACCTCAGTAATGCTCATGAACCCTTAAAACGAAGGACTCTTAAGGTTGAATCTTAGAAGAATATCCAACAAGAACATTGGAAGAGCATCATGGTGGCTACTGATGTCAGTAGTTATTTCTTTTTTCTTCCTCAAAATATTTTCAACACTCTTCTGTACAACCTCAGAGCAAAGTATTCCCTTGGGAAAGACCAGATTGTCCCCAACAGCAAAAGGAAGAGCATCTATGAGACCCCACCCTCCTCCAGCAGGACAGTCCTCAGCTCATTGAGTCCTGGCTGAGGCCTAAGGGGTGAGTGAGACTGGAGTAGAATGTTCCTGAAGGTTCAAGAGCCTGGGTTCTCCCAGCAGAACCTCCCAACAAAATCTGGGAAGGCAGATGAATTTGCCCCTTACCTGAAAGAATGGCGAATTGTCTGTGAAGTTGTTCCATTATATCCACTGCCACCAAGGGCCTGACCTCCTGCTGCATAATCTCATCTGCACAAAGGAAATACAAATTAAGTTAAGTCCTTGCAAATTACGAAGAGAAATTAAAAAGAAAAAAGGAAAGTTCCACTACTAGGAAAACCCAAGGCTTGGTTATGGGAACATTATTCTCTTGAGAACTGGATTCCTGAGATGCAGGGCTGTATCAGGGTTTGTGTGGTTTGAAGTTTATACATAGGAGCATGGGAACACATTTCTAGAGCCCCTCCCAAGGTTTTGGGAGGGACCAACACGAGGAAGGGGCCCTGAAGTTCAAGCTTCAGTAGCTTTGCAGTAACCCTGCTGGATGGTCTCATCGCCAAGGCAGGCATTTGCCTGCTCCTTTGGGTCTGCAGAAGGACATTTGAAACACAAACCACATAAGTTACCAGAGCTCCTCTCACAATGGGTCATAAAATCAATGGGGATTTATGAGAGTTCTTTGATTTTCATTTCCCTCCATTCCTCCCATTTTGCCTCCCTCCTTACCTCTATTCCTTTTTTACTTCCCCTTCCAGATCCTTTAAGGGCCTCTTTCCACTGCCAAACACATTTAAAGAGGCTCTTCTCCATTTTGCTATCTAAAGATTCTCCTCACTGATTAAAAGATGACAAGTTTCCAAGGCAAAAATTCAAGCCTTTCAAGCACAAACCTACAAACGTCCTCTAGCCTAACAGGTGACTTAAAAAGCCCTGTGGTTTGCATTTCTATCCATCTGGGGAAAGGAGATTAGAGAGAGCAGAGGACTATGTAGAATCCCTTAGCCTGGCTAGGGAGAGGAAGGCATTTTCATGCTCCCTCTGCCTTACTTAACTATTTCGCAGGGAATCTTAAGGAGTGAACTGGTTATTGCTTCTACAGGAGTTAGACGTCTGGTTAGATTAAGGCGCAAACCGAACAGCCTTATGTGCTGACACTAAATGGGAATTTCTTATTGATTCAGTAGCGAGTCACAGGAACATGATATTGTAATATTGATCAATCTGAAGGTAATACTTGCAAAGCTCCTCCAGAGGCTTCATTTATATCCTTAGCTTTGGCACGAAGGTTAAAGGGCACGATGCATATAGAGATGTACCCAGTAGGTGCTCACTAAATGCTAGTTATATCCGTTGCTCTGAACAGACAGGCCTTTTCCACGTCCATGTTTGCTTTCTGAAAGTCTGGAAGGGGTGGGCCAAGTGCCCAAGATCCTGCTCAATGAATTATCACACTTTTTTTTCTGGAGGAAAGGGGGTAAATCCAGACCAGAGCTCCTTCATCCCAATACTAAATTCACTAAAATTTCAAGGAACCCCTGCATCACCATTAATTTGGGGGGGGNTGAAGTTTATACATAGGAGCATGGGAACACATTTCTAGAGCCCCTCCCAAGGTTTTGGGAGAGACCAACACGAGGAAGGGGCCCTGAAGTTCAAGCTTCAGTAGCTTTGCAGTAACTCTGCTGGATGGTCTGATCGCCAAGGCAGGCATTTGCCTGCTCCTCAAGGCGCAAACCGAACAGCCTTATGTGCTGACACTAAATGGGAATTTCTTATTGATTCAGTAGCGAGTCACAGGAACATGATATTGTAATATTGATCAATCTGAAGGTAATACTTGCAAAGCTCCTCCAGAGGCTTCATTTATATCCTTAGCTTTGGCACGAAGGTTAAAGGGCACGATGCATATAGAGATGTACCCAGTAGGTGCTCACTAAATGCTAGTTATATCCGTTGCTCTGAACAGACAGGCCTTTTCCACGTCCATGTTTGCTTTCTGAAAGTCTGGAAGGGGTGGGCCAAGTGCCCAAGATCCTGCTCAATGAATTATCACACTTTTTTTTCTGGAGGAAAGGGGGTAAATCCAGACCAGAGCTCCTTCATCCCAATACTAAATTCACTAAAATTTCAAGGAACCCCTGCATCACCATTAATTTGGGGGGGGATGTAATAATGGCATTGTAGTCATATTTTACAAAAAGGGTAGCCTTCTCTGTTAAAAACACAGAGTGATGTATTTAACAATAAAATAATATGAAGTCTGAGATTTGCTTAAAAATACTCTAGCACTCCCCTCCGCCAAAAGTGTGCACGGGGCGGGGGCAGACGAAACAAGACTGACAAAATGTGGATAACTTGAAGCTGGTCCATGAGTCCAATTCTTCTGTAAATGTTTCAAACTTTCCATAACAAAATGTAAAATAGAAATGGAGAACAACATAGAGAGTTTCAGCAGAAACAGACATTATGTAATCGGAGAGTTTTTCAGAATACAATCTCCCAGGGGTTTAGGAAAGTGGCATAATCAAAGATAGAGCTTGGCGTTATTTTTTCATACCTGAGGGAACATATTTAAGAGACGATGAACCCAGAGGACAACAAAAATCATTAGGTGCAATTTATTGTTTTTATACCTCAATATTTGAGGTATGCTTTAAGTTAAATTAAACACCTTAAATTAAGATGTAAAATCTGAAATGAACGACATTAATGAGCTAAGCCAACCATCCCCTTCCTCATCTCATCTTTTGTATCCAGAAATTTAACCATTTCCACCAGGTTTTCATATTTGTTGTCATACAGTTGTTTATAATAATCTCTAATGGTTCTTTGTATTTCTGCAGTATCAGTTGTAGTATCTCCCTTTTCATTTCTGATTTTTGTTACTTGGGTCTTCTCTCTCTCTCTTTTTTTTTTTTTTTGTTAACCTAGCTAATGGCTTGTCTATTTTATTTATCTTCTCAAAAAAAACCAATTTTTGTTTCATTGATCTTTTGCATTGTTTTTTAGGTCTCTATTTCTACCCCGATCTTGATTATTTCTTTCCATCCACTACTTTTGGGATTGGATTTTTATTGTTTTTCTAGTTCTTTGAGGCATAGTGTCAGGTCATTTATTTGAAGTCTTTCCATTCTTTTGATGTAAGTGTTTATTGCAATAAACTTCCCTCTTAGTACTGCTTTTGCAGTATTCCATAGGTTTCGGTATGATGTATCTTTAATTTCATTAGTTTCAAGAAATTTTTTGATTTCCCATCTCATTTCTTAAATGAAGAAATGGAGATCAGAGAGATTCTGAACTTGCTGATGGTTACATAATAAATTAAGTATAGAGCCTGGGTCACCTGGCTCTCAGAGGGCCAACCTAGGTCATCAGTGATGGAGTGCCCAGACACTTGGCCTCGAGGAACAGAGGCTCCTACCACCACTGGGAGTTCGACTAGTGTCTCTCACGTGGGAATCTGAGGTTTGTCAGCCCTCCCACAGAGACCTTTCTCACCAGCCTTGTGTGTTTACCAAATAAACAGTACTAAAATTCTTGATGTATTTTTCTAAGAATAGAAATGATCTGGCTCACCGTTAGCCTAGGTTTTGCTGAGAGTGCATGGCCACCAGCCAGGGAGTGACATAGTTATCCTTGAAGACTTCCTAGCACAGGAGCCACATGATCCAACCTGGCCAGGGCAATGGATCATGAGGGTTTCTCTGACTCAGCGTCTGACTCAGAGCATGGAGATGATGGCTGACACGTAAAGCTTTTAGTGACGCCTGATACTTGTGGGCCTGTCGGAATAGGGCATGCTCAGTTCTGCCCCAAACAGGGCACATTTATGCTTTGTACCAAAAGTGACATAAAGGCTGGCCCTGCTGATGGCAGCTCTGCTACCCACTCCTGGATAGCTGGGGTTGGAGAGGAGGTGCAGGAGCTCTCTGGTCCTAAAGCAACACCTCCCATGGCAGTAGGAAAGGACCTGCTTCAGATCCAGACTGCCCGGCATGCAAAGTCCCTTTCTGCCACCTTCTAGCTGGGCGACGAGGGCAAGTACACTGAGCCTCAGTGTCCCCACCTGGAAAATGATTTCTCCTTCTCCCAGGCATAGCTAAAAATAACCAGTGAAGACCTTGAAGACCACCAAGGCGCTGGTGCCTGCTGCACATCTGCCCTGGCCTCGCAGTCCTGTGTGGAGGCCTCTTGCTTGCTCTTTGCTATTTCTGGTGTGTATCAGGAGGAACTTGTCTCTTTGTAACCACATAAGGCAAGGGAAAGTGATCATGCAATTTCAACACAATTTTTATCCGGAGCATACAGAAGTGTGATTGTATGGACCCACAATTCCAGAAATGTGGAAGGATCAAAGGCCACACACAGCCTCCAGCCTCCTGGGTGGTGGAATAAAGCCTAGCACATCCCATGGAATTCAGCCAAAGGCAGCAATCAACACCCCTGTGTTATCCACTTCCCAGGCTCGGAGAGCAACGAGGGCTCTGGGGCAGGACCATTACTAATGACTGAAGGCATCCCTCTAACAGCAGAGGGCAGGAGACAGGCTGGTGAAGTCTAGCTGCTTCTGGGGGTAGCAACAGGTAAAGAATAAAGGGCAGTGAGATCCTTAGCCTCCCACTCTTGCTGAAATTTCTGTCACTGTGATTTCAAAGATTCAAGTGTGATCTGAAGGAACATAAATAAACAAACAGGTTAAGGGGGGAGAAAAGTATGGTCTGAACCAGAGAGGAACAGCAGCCCCAAGTTTGGCAGACCCTTTGACATTACTACTTGGCCCAGAGAACCAGGTGGACAGAAGGAATGGAAGGGTCTACCAGCTAGCCAAACTAGGTCTCAACAACCGGGTTTGTAATAAGGGCTAACAAGTGACTGAGCCATGGGCGCAGGATCTCCACTCTCAGGCACTGTATACCACGCCTCTCTGTTAATGACACCAACAGAGTGCCAGCTGTGAGCCAGGCACCAACGATACACTTTACAGATTAACTGGTTTAATTAGTTAAATAATGCCCACCCCACCCTCCCACCCCCACAGCTAAGCCTGACTTGACAGCTGAGGAAATACGTGCAGACCAGAGGCTCAGAGAAACCAGTTGCTGGGCTGGTACAAAAAGCCACCCCATGGGGGCATGCTATATTTCATATGTCCATCTTATCGGCCAGGTCAGAAACAACACAAACATATTTCCTTCCTTTACTGGGTCCTGTACTACAGTGATGCTTAACCTGTCCCATAACAATGACTTTAGTATTGCGGTCTTGTCCATAATTAACAATGAATAAAAGGCATTTGCAAAGCAAACAGAATTTTTAAAGGAGGAATTTAAAAGACTTTTAAAATCGAGAACACTATTAAATGTCCAACTTCCTAGTAGTCAACTAATGCAAATAAAACAGAAATAACTCATTTCATCCATAAAATAAGTGAGATTCTAACTCACAATGCAAGGCTGGAAAACTAGTAATTCTGTATAACCTCAGGGAGTGAAGCAGGAATGTCCTTTCAGAAAGTAGTTTCAGAATATTCTTTTTTTTTTTTTTTTTTTTTGTCTTTTTTCGTGTCTGGCAACGGATCGCAACCC